GATTTTAATTATGGTGTAGGCCTCCTTGGGTTCATGTTGTTTGGAACCCTCTGCACTTTTTGGGCTTTTATGTCTACTTTCTTTGCCAGGTTAGGGAAGTTTTCCGTCATTATTTCTTCCAATAGGTTTTCTATCTCTTGCTCTCTCTATCTTCTCCTTCTGGTACCTCTAAGATGTGAATATTGTTATGCTGTTATACTTAATGTTGTCCCAGAGGCCCCTTAAACTATCCTGTTTTTTGGATTCTTTTTTTTCATTGCTGTTCTGATTGGGTTTTTTTTTTTTTGCTATCTTATTTTCTAAATCGCTGATTCCCTCCTGTACTTTATCTACTGTTGATTCCCTCTAATGTATTCCTCATTTCAGTCATTGTATTCTTTATTTCTGACTGATTCTGTTTTATGTTTTCTATCTCTTTGTTAAAGTTCTCACTGAGTTCATCTACTCTTCCTTTACATTCATTGTGCATCCATATAACCAGCATTTGAACACTGCATCTGGTAGGTTGCTCATTTTGTTTAGTTCTTTTTTTTTTAAGCTTTGTTTTCTTTCATTTGGGACATATTTTTTTATCTCCCTGTGTTGGTTTCTATGTATTAGGTAGGGCTGCTATGTCTCCCAGTCTTAGTAGAGTGGTCTTATATAGTATGTGTCCTGTGGGGCTCAATGGTGCAGTTTTCTTTGTCATCTGAACTAGGTCCTCCAGGTGTGTCCCTTTTATGGGTTGTGTGTGCCCTTCCCTTGTAGTTGAGCCTTGGTTGCTGTTTATATATCAGTGAGAGGGATTGACCCTTGGGCTGATTGGTTGTGAGGAGTGGCCAGTGAGGGGCTGACCCTATGGAGCAAGATTTGCTTTAGCAGGGCTCTGGTGCCTGCCCAGTCTGCCTTTTGCATGTATTGTCCTTGGATGCAGCCCCGGGTGGTGATCTGGCTCCAGCTCCATCTGAACCAGGCCACTGGGTGTGCTGGCCTTGGGCCTCCTGGGAGGGGCCCAGCTGTAGGCCAAATTTAGCTGCAGCCTGTGCCCTGCCTGGGGCCACCTGGCAAGAGTCACCAAGCAATCCGAAGATGACCGCCACCCGTTAGAGTTTGTACTTTAATCTTAATGGTTAGAATCCAGTTCCGCTGACTAGTCGTTGTAATGCTTTTTTTCCTTAGAGAAAAATTTTAAGAAAATGACAGAATGAGCAACTGTATAGTAAATATATATATATATGTATATATGTATATATGTATATTTATGTATATTATTCTTTAGTGGATCTATAGTAGCTTTTTCTAAATATTGTAGCCCTTTTTTGCCTTCGTCTACCTAGTAGATGAGAATACCTATGATAAATACACATTGGTACATTGGAAAATAACATCCCTGAAAGGGATCTAGGAAACTTATTTCTGGGAAGATTTCATTGTACATATTTCATAGGCTTTCAGGTTTGGGAGAGACAATACAAGTCATCTGGTTTACCAGGCATTTGATGGTTAAGTCCTTGTTTAGATCACATTTGAATCCTTGAGGGCTATGGAAGGATTTTTAGGAACAATTATTATTATATAGGTCACTTTATAGCCTAAAAATGTTTCTGTATTCTACCAAACTAATGAAGTGGAATGTTGAGTATTCAAAACAAAAGTTGTTTCTCTCTTTCTTTGGTCATCTGGATTTTTGAAATGTCCTATTCGAAACATTTCCCTTAGAACTTGTTAGCTGTTATGGAAATAGCATATTTAGACAATTGTTTAGTACTATAATTTATTGGAATATAATTTTTTTCAATGTGACTAAATAATGGTGGTTTTCTTTTTCCTCTTTCTGTGTTTCTGTCTTTATTTACAAGCTGGATCCAGTTTCTTTCATAATTGTTACATGTGAGTGTTTTCAGTTCTTTTGTGCTTTAGTTTGAAGTTTTGACGAAGAGAGGAGTTCAAGATTAAATTTTTAGTGAAAGCTAATGGAAGATATATAATGAACCTAAGGTACTTAAATAAGAAGAAATAACTAGAGATGGTCGTTTTCCCTCTTTGCCTTTGAATAGAAATGCAGGCCCCTAGTGATGGAGTGTCAAGAGCATTATTTAGCAGCTTACACTAACAGATTTCTTTTTTGAACCAGTGTTTCTTAGAATTTAGAACAAAGGTATGTAGGATATGTATACTTATACCCTGTAGTTGGCGTATATATAGCTCTAACCTCCTGAAATCATATTGTGGCCAGGAGAGTACTTGTGGGAAGCTTAAAAGTTCATTGGGTATATGTATCATGGTTGCAGTGTGCCTAAGAACATGCCTAATGGCAAATAGAATATCCATTATAAACTCTTGGGAAAACTTACATTTCAACTTTACAAATTTGCAACATAAGTGGAAATGAATCTTTTTTTTGCTTATAAAGACTCACATAGTCTTTTCAGTTCCTGTTTTATCCTAAGCTTTATCTATAGGCCTAAACTGTTGTAAGGAAAAGCCTGAATAGAGAGATATGTGGGATATTCTGTTACAAATATTTGTTCTGTCTGTGGAGCTTCTCTACCATAAGTGGCTTAACTGGTCCCCTGCAGGGAGTGGAGAAAGGGTAATCTGAAAAGGTCAAAGGATTAACAGTTTCTTTTAAAGTTTTTCATAGAAAGTCTAAGACCAGGTGAAGGTCATAGAAATACAACCAAATATTCTGCAACTAACAGATTTTCAAAGGGCATCCATATATGAAATTTCAAGTTTGTGTTTGTGCTTGTGAGCGTTCTAAACCTTGTAAGGTAATCATAACAGGTATTATTGTCTCCATTTTAAAAATTAAGGGAGGCAAATCTGGGTCATAGTTTAATTACTTTTTCCATTGTCATCTGAACAGAGTGGTGCTGGAGCTAGAGCCCAGATATTAGGATTTGACGTTCATTGCACTGTACAATTTGTTTTCCTCTGATAACTTTCCATTGAACCTAGAGACCATACATTGTTCAGTCTTTCTACTCAAATTTTAAGTGGCACCTGGGGAGATCAAGGCAATAACAATGGAATCTGTGTGGCAGATGGAAGACCTGAGAGATCCTTAGGAGCAGAGGCGGGGTGGACAAGGCTTCATATTGTTTATTCATTTATCCCTTGGTGTGACACTCCTTTTTGTGAGCCACCTTTGCTATTTCTCTCGAGGTTTGCCTGCCCATTGAAATTCTTCCCTATATTTCCTTGCTGCTGCTTTCTCCTAATTATCATTCTTCCTAGGACTGGAGACCATGTTTGGCACAGTAACTCCTTGTGAAAGTGATTGTTCATGCTTCTCTTGAACAAGACAGTGAAAGTTAAAATATGGTATCTATATTGAGGTCAAT